TGGGCCGTTCTCTGGGGATCCCGTGGTGTCTCCCGTCCCACGGGGCCCCCGTCTTTGTGCAGGAAGCCTGTACGGGCAGGAGAGCACGCGTGAGGCGAGCAGTCTGATGTCAGTGTGTGGTTCTTTGTGGACTTTGACGGGGGCTCAGGATGGAGCAGGCGTTACCCCTCTCTGCCTCGCTTGTTGGGGGGGGGGGGCATGGCATAATGAGGCCACCGAGTCCTTTCAAATCCAAGCAAAAGGAAGTGTTCCAAGTGGGGAAAAGTCCCGAGCTGGGAGTCCGAAGGCCTCATCCTTCACGGATCTCTGACCTTGAGCGAGCCCTGGCCTCAAGCTTCTCTTCCGCCATCTGCTCAAGGCGGGGCCGACTGTCCTCGCCGGCTTCACCCTCTCCCTCCCTCCCTCCCTCCCTCCCAGAGCTGTTGTGCGTTCGGAGCAGATAATGGATGTGAGGCCCCAGGGTTCCGTGTAATTCTGATTAATATTAATGATCCGACATGCCGTTGCCTGCCGCGTTCCAGGCCCTGGGCCAGCTGCCTCCCCACGCAGGGCCTCCCCCCTCCCCGCTCTGGGTGTCCTCCACCTCTGCAGGGGGTTTTGACGCCCCTCTCCCCTCCGCACCCCCAGATCTTCTCCCTGGGCCACTGCCCCAACCAGGACTGGCTGGCCGTGGGCATGGAGAGCAGTAACGTGGAGGTTCTGCACGTGCGCAAGCCGGAGAAGTACCAGCTGCATCTTCACGAGAGCTGTGTGCTGGCCCTCAAGTTCGCCTCCTGCGGTGTGTCCGCGGGGGGGGGGGGGGCGGCACTGGGGGGGCACCACACCCAGCAGGCAGCGCCCACTCCAGAACACAGGATGCCCAGGGGAATTTGAACCTCCCTCTCTCTCTCTCTCTTTCTTTCTTAATGTTTATTTTTGAGAGTGAGACAGAGCCCAAGCAGGGGAGGGGCAGGGAGAGAGGCAGACACAGGATCCAAAACAGGCTCCAGGGTCTGAGCTGTCAGCACAGAGCCCGATGCGGGGCTCGAACCCACGAACCGTGAGATGGTGACCTGAACCCACCTCGGACGTTCAACCGACTGAGCCCCCCAGGCAGGCGCCCCTCAGTGGAATTTGAATCATAACAAATCGTTTGTTAGCGGAAGTTTTCCCCAAGTGCTGCACGGGACACGCTTATGCTAAAAAGCAACAGATTTGGTAAAACACAAAAAGAGCCCCAATACTGCGTGAGGGAGACGGACACTCATTGTGCCCCGAGCAGCGCGTGGGACACACCGGCCTGAAAGTCAGTCAGGAAATCCTCAGGGCGCGTCCGTGTCAAAACGGTTTGTGATTTACCCAAGATTCAGAGGTACCCGGCAGCTTATGTTTTGTCTGGCTACGCTCTCCTGGGGCACCCCCTTCTTGAAGGCCGCATGCTGCCCCCCCACCGGGGACCTTGACTTCACCATCTGGAAAATGGGGGAAGGGGGAGGGGCCCCGTGTTCCCTTTGTGAGAGCAGAGGTGCCAGAAAGAAAGGGAGAGACCAGGCCTGCTGGACGCCCCCCTGCAGCCCACAGCTGGGGGGGCCTCTCTGGTCTCCCCATCTGGAACCCCCCTGCTCCCTCCCCCCCACCCCCAGGGCGCTGGTTTGTCAGCACTGGGAAGGACAACCTTCTGAACGCCTGGAGGACTCCGTACGGAGCCAGCATTTTCCAGGTAAGCAGCCACCACCTGCAGGCGCGCTGGGCCCCGGGTGGCCGGGCCGGTGGTTAAACCGCAAACTGCGTTCCCTCCCCCCTCCCTGCAGCCAGCAGACTCCTAACAGCAGGGCCTGCAAAGTGCAGCCTGGGTTCTTGTGCGCACTTACTGTTCTTAGTACATTAACATTCGACATTGTAACCATTTCCAAGCACCAAGCACACTCTGTTGTATAACCACCCTGGCTATCTGTCTCCAGAACCTTCCATCTCCCCAGACCGAGAGTCTGTCCCCATGAAGCAGGGACTCCCCGCCCCCCACCCCACCCCCGGCTCCCACCATCTACTCTCTGTCTCTGGGGACCCCTGTGCGTGGGGTCACGCAGGATGTGTCCTTCCGTGTCTGGCCTCTGTCACTGTGCACGGTGTCCTCCGGGTCGTCCACGCCGTGGCAGGTGGCAGGCTGTCCCTCCTGGGCCGGACCACAGCCTAGAGCAGGTGGATTGCGTCGTGTTGTCCATTCACCCTTCAGTGGGCGCCTGCCTGTGCCCTGCGCTGGCTGCCCTGGGCGTGTGTCCCTCTCTCTGGGGGACAGACCGCTCTTGGACGAGCATTGCCGGGAGGCGCTGTTTTCCAGCGTTTCCATCCCCCAGCAGTGTCCGCCACCCCAACAACTTGTTACTGTGTCTTTTTTGTTCCAGCCATTCTGGTGGGTGTGCAGTGAGTTTTACATCCTTAAAGGGGTGGAAAACAAAAGGAGCATAATGTGACAGATATATTTGCGCGCCCCCCGCCCCCGGTTCTTGGCCAGAGACTCATTTGGAGCTTTGGTAAAGCCTGCAGGCTGGCCCCTGGGCCTGTTACAGGAAACGTTGGCTGATGTAGGGTCGTTGTGCAGTAAGCCTCAGCTGGCCCTCTGCTGTGTTGTGTGGCCTCGCGCCTGGTGCACACCCTCTCTGGGCTTCCTCAGAAAGGGCGGGGCTTCAGTTCCCTCTCTCTTGGTGTCCAGAGAACAGACAACCTGGCCCTGCCCTTCCCAGGACCCCTCACCTGTCCAGACCCTCGATTCCAGTGCATCTTCTTCTGGAAAACGTGTCGCCCCCATTCCCCTATCCCCTGCCCCCCCACTGTGGGCTCCCCTGTCCCCTGCTCCCCCCACTGGGGGCTCCCCTGTCCGAGTCCCGGCTCCGCCCCAGTCGCACCCGCTCCCCCACTGGCCCTGCCTCTTCCTTCCGAAGAACATCATGGTGCAGGGCGGGGAGCACAAAGGACCAGACACCAGACCCTGTGCCTCACCTCTCCTTCTCTCCCTCCCCCCCCACCCCCGTCCGTAGTCCAAGGAGTCATCGTCCGTGCTGAGCTGTGACATCTCCGGAAATAACAAGTACATCGTGACAGGCTCGGGGGACAAGAAGGCCACGGTGTACGAGGTGGTCTACTGAGACCCCCCACCTTCCCGCGCCCCTGGCCCGGCTCCTGGGGGAGGGGCGTCCAGCACAGAGACCCCAGCACCCCTCTGGGTTCACACCTGCCAGCGCTAAGCCTGCCCTCTGGCCGACTCCCTCCCACCTCCCCCTGCCGGGCGCGGCGCGGGAGGGGCAAGCGGACTTTGGGGAAATAAACGTGCTCATCACGACTACCCGTCTGTCCTGGGCTGGAGACCCGGGCACCGTGGCGTTTCTCGGGCACAGTGACCGCGAAGGCCGTGCGGCTGCGGAAGGCGCGTCCCCGCAGCCCCCTTTTCCTCCTCTGACAGCGTGAAGCCCGCAGGGTCGGCTGGGGAAGCGGGTGTCGCGTCAAGCAGCAGGGCTTCCGTGAGGCCGGTGACACGGGCCCCCAGGCCTCAGTGGTTGGACACAGCAGACCTTTCTCTCCGGCTCGGGTCCACGTGGCCGGCAGCGTCCTTCGGGGCCATTTCTGCCACGTCACGTGTAGCTTCAGGATCCCTTGTGGCAGGGGAGAGGAAGTCACGCGGCCTATTTAGTGATTTTTAAATTGTATTTTTTAACATTTATGCATTTTTAAAAAAAATTTTAGGTTCACCATTGAAACAGAAACAGAGCATGAGTGGGGGAGGGGCAGGGAGAGAGGGAGACAGAATCTGAAGCAGCTCCAGGCTCGGAGCCGTCAGCCCAGAGCCCGACGCGGGGCTCCCACAAACCAGGAGATCATGACCTGAGCCGCAGTCGGACGCTGAACCGGCAGAGCCCCCGGCGCCCCCCCACGTGGCTTTTCGATGCCCCGGCCAGTTTCCTATATCTCTTTCACCGCCAGTCCTTTGGACGGGGTACGGAGGGTGGGGTGTAGCTGAGAACATGGCTCCTTGGGGTGCAGCCACCGTTCCCGTGAGACCCCAGAAAACTCCCGAGGGCCTGGTGCACGAGGAGGCGTGGCTGGGTGTGAGGTGCTAAGCAAACACCGCGATCCCGCCAAGGGCCAACTGGTGAAACGGCCAACGGGGAGGGCCCTGCAAGAATGAGTACAGAGGGAACAGCATGTGCGAAGGCTCAGAGGTAAGGCGCCGGGCCAGGTGGAAATCAGGACGGAGGTCCACTCCTCCTCAGCTGCAGGGGAGCAAGGTCCCCAGCCCAGGCTTGAGCAGCGCGAGCCCTAGACACGGTCCAGTGGGGATAGAGACACACGCATCTGTGTTCCGGGAGCTCCCATGGGCTGCCGTGTAGGACAGAGGGGAGGCCTGGACGCTGCTGTGAACCTTCTGGAGGGAGATGGCAAGGTCCCTGGGTGGAGTTTTGTAGGTGCTTTTTGGGACAGGAAAATTCTCTGGGTCAGGACAGCAGACCTGTGGGCACCACTGGGGGAGGCTTGTGCAGGAGGGGACAGGGCTCGCAGGCGGGGCCAGAGCCCTGGGGGCGGGCGGGGGGTGAAGCCGGCCAGGGACTGACCGCTAGTTTGCTGTAACCGCTGTGTCCTGGCCCTGCTCGCAGGGCTGACGGAGGGACCGGCACTCTGGGGGGCCCTGGGCTCCGTGGGGACCGGGCAGCACCCTGGCCCCACCCGCTTGATGCCACGTGTACCCCCCCCAGTCATGACGACCAGGAATGTCCACAGATTTGCCAGGTGCGCCCCTCAGGCTCAGGTTCACCCCAGGTGGGACGCACCCAGCTAATGTGAGGGTGTTGGCAAGGGCGGAGGGCCCGGCCCTCAGTGGCACAGGCGGCTGGCAAAGCCACCTGACGAGGCGCCTGTGAACGTGGACTTAAGGCCGGGAGACCCAGCCAGAAAGAGTCCTTCCAAACCTCGACAGGGCAGGCGGGGGGCGGGGGGGTGGGGGGCAGGGAAGGACGCACAGACCCCTCTGCTGTTTGCAGTTGCTTTATTACACGTGACAAAGATCGCCGGCCAACTGTGCGACTCGGGGGAAGCCCGGCCCGCCTGCCACACCCCTCCACCTTATTGGGGGGAAAAAAGACCAAAAACAAGGGCCCCGAGTCAGGACCACGGCACCGTGGCCCTCAGTAGGTGACCTGGTACACCGAGGCGCGGTCCCTGGACCCGGTGACGATCAGGCAGCCATTGGGGGACACGTCACAGCACAGGACGGCAGAGGTCTCAGGTACCTCGGGGTGGGGAGGGCCAGCCTGAGCTGAGGGCTCACCCCCCCCACCCCATAGTTCAAGCCCAGTCCCCCTGGGGCCTCTGGATCGTGACCCCTGCCCGCCGCCCCTGGGGTACCTGGAACTCCATGGTCCCCGCGGGCATGCTGTAGACGCCAACCAGGTCATCCATCCCGACGCTCACCCACCACTGGCCTGGGGGGCGGCGGAGAGGACCGGTTTGTGGGGGAAATCTGGCCTCTGAGGGCAGGGCCCCTGGGGATCTGGGACACAGGTAGCCCCCCCCCAGTCTCTGTGGAGACCATCAGTGAGCGGTTCCTGATGAGGAAGGGCGTTGGGGAGTCAGCAGGGGGCAGGCGGGGTGGGGCTAGGATCCCGTGGGAGGCCGGGGGCCACGGCTCCTGGCCACTCACCGAGGGGTGAGAACTTCAGACCCAAGATGGTGCTGTCTTTACATCCCACCATGTGCTTCTGGCCCCCTCGGGTGGGCTGCAGCCACTGTTGGCCATTGGCTGTGCCCACCAGCACCCAGTCCTCTTGGGGACTAGGGGACAGGCTCATTATCTGGGGGTGACAGCAGGGAAGGAGCTAGTCAGGTCCTGGCCTCACCCAGGAGCACAGGGCCCACCCTGGGGGCTGACTTCCTGCCAGCCTCCTCGAGGGCCTAACAAGCAACTTCACACCGGTGGGCCTCAGTCTGCTCATCTGTAAAGTCGGTTGGTTCTCTCTACCTTTAGGGAGGACTGTAGAGATTAAATGGGGCTATGAGCACCTGAAACATAATACGAAAGTATCTGATGCTCTTGGGGCCCGAGGGGGGGGTGGCATCTCTAATGACCTATTCCCGCCAGCACCACTGAGACGTGGGGCCCCACTCACCCCCTTTTCCCCGACCTCCACCTTCTCTATTCTGAGGCCCAGCTACTACTACCTGGCCGACCACACGCTTCCCAGCCTGCACACCTGAGACTCGAACTGGTATTCCTGGGGCTCCCCGGCGGCCCTCAGGTCCCAGCACCGCAGACAGGTATCCAGACCCCCTGTCCAGACGCTCTGGTCTTTGACAGCGATGCTCTTGGCCCCATTGGGGTGGCCCGGCAGGTCCCTGGCCAGAAGGGGTATTGGGATGGGGTCAGGCTCTGAGCTTTGAGCCCCAGGAATAGCACCCCCACATACACTTAACTACCCCAGGTGACAGATGGGGAAACTGAGGCTAGCAAAAGTGCCAGAACTGGGTTTTGAAGAAATGCAGCCAAAATCTGAACTTGGCCTTCAATGCTCTCAAGGGCAAATTTAAGCAGTCGAGGGGTTTTCCCACTTTGCGGCCGCTGGATCCCTACTCAGGCAACGGGGAGCAGGGTTTTCAGGGTGACTCCGCGCCCCACCCCCAGGTCTCACCTGATGACACTCTGGTGCCGCAGGTCCCAGATCCTGACTGTGCCGTCGGTGAAACCAGCCAAGGCCAGGCTGTCCTCAGGCCTGGAGGCCAGGGCCTGGCAGGTGAGGCCGGCGCAGGGCAGCTCGCAGCTCACGTGCAGGGAGGGCGCGGTCAGGTCCCACACAGCCACGCCGGCCAGGTTGTGGCCACCGGTGAGCAGGGTGGTGCTGTCGGGGGACAGCAGGCAGGTGCGCAGGTAGGCCCGGTGGGTCTGCGGTGGGCGGAGACGCAGGGCCATCCTCGTGCTCGGCGCACACGCTCCGGGCTCCCGCAGGCCCCGCCCCCACAGCCGGCCCGCCCCTCCCTCACCTGCGCGCACAGGTGGCTCTCGGGATACCTGTCCTCGGCCACCTGGCCGGCCAGGCTCCACACTTTGACGCCGGCCCTGCCGCAGGTGAAGGCGTGTCGCAGGAAGCTGCTGACGGCCGTGGCCAGCACGGGCTCCCCGTGTTTCAGCGTCCGCACCTTCTCCACTCGGTGCGGGATGGCCCGCTTCTTGGACTGCCAGGGCAAGGCGTCTGGTCTCTTCCACGTGTCCTCAAAGTCCTCGGGGTCCCAGCATCTTGGGAGGGGAGGCCCCGGGTCACCAGCCTCCCGGTGGGCCTCTCCGCCCGGGGTGCGGGTGGGGTGGACCCATCAAGTCTGAGGAGCTTCATTCTTGCAGATGTCGGGGTTCTCCCTCAGGCCCCGTTTCCCTGCTGCGCTGGGCGCCCCCACGGCGCTTCCCAGACCCCTATTCTTCCCCCCCTACAGCAACATCTAGGAATGCTTCCACCTGGAATGCTTTGGCCCATCCTAGCAAACTCCTACTCATCCATCAAGACCTTAACCGTTATGCCCCTTCCCTCCAGGTAGCCTTCTCATCGCCAGCTGGGCTCCCCCTGCCTCGGACCGCAAGGTCGGGACTGTCTGCATCCAGCTCTGACGCCGTCTTTCCACGGGAGTCCTTTCCGCCAACCCAGAGCTAGTCATGCGGGGAGGGACAGTGATGCTGGCCTGACTGTCGCCCGAGCTGCCCCCTTCTGCCCGGATCCCTCAGTTCTAGTGACTGCGGACGGTAGCCCGGCGGTGGGGAAGGGGAAGACACACCCGCACCTCTGGTCCCCTCTACCTGCCAGGGACAGAGGAACACGTAAGAGAGGGTCACAGATACTCACAAGGGCTTCAGGAAACGGCAGGGTCTGGCAGGCTCCTGCGGGCGGGACCAGGGTCGTGCTCAGTCCCCCCCCCCCCCCCCCCCGCCCTCCCAGCCTTCTGGAGCACGTCTCCGCTCCGCTGGTGCCTCACCTGGGCCACGCGGGAGAGCATCCCCTCGGCCTCGGTGCCCGGCTCTGTGCTCCCTTCGCGGGATCCCTCAGGGGAGCTCAGGGAGGGCACCGGGGGGCTGAGAACTGAGCAGAGACAAGAGCGGGTGAGCGGCGGGTGTGGGGTCCTCGGGGCAGGCTGCCCCCCGCACTGGGATTACCCAAAGTGTCTTCGGTCCGCTGTTCCTGTCCCGCGTAGCTTGGTCCTGGGTCCTGGCTCTCCTGCCCGCGGGAATTGGGGACCATCAGTTCAGGCCAACGGACCAGCCCAGGGTCGGTCTTAGACCCTGGAAACCTCAGGGAGGCCCAGGCAGTGTAGACAGGACTCGCCAACAGCCCCAAGTCCCGTCCTGGGTGGGGCTACAGTCTAGTGACACAGTCCTGAGTCCCCAGAGGGCATCGGGGCCAAGGCTGGAAGATGACGGATCCCGGGAACCCGGCCCCCCCGCCCCCGGCCCAGCCCTTCAAGGTACTGAAGAGTCACTCACCGTGCCTGACGCCTGCTCTGTCGCTAGGACGATGGGGGGGGGAAGGACAAGGTTCAGCTGTGCTGCCCCCACCCCCCTGCCCCCTCCCCCTGCCCTCAGGGAGGCTCACGCCTGTGCTGCGGCCGCTCCCCAGTATCGTGGGTCCCGGCAAAGATGTGCCAGAGCTGCTCGGTCAGGACGTCCTGCCAGAGCCGGAGCTCCGGGTCCGGCTGGCGGGCGGGGGCGGCGTCCACCCCCGGGCACTGCGTGAGCCAGTCTGAGGACCTAGTGGCCACGACGTCCTCCCAGTGCGGCCCCTGGAGGCTGGAGCGCTGCGGGGCTGGGAGCGCTGCGTTCGGGGACGCCGCGGGGCTGGCCGGTCCCCAGGAGTCCCGGCCAGCCTGGCTCCCGGCCGCCTCCTGCAAGCACAGGGGTGTGAGCGTGTGTGTGTGTGTGAGCGAGCGGGGGGGGGTGAGCGAGCGGGGGGGGGGGAGCGAGCGGGGGGGG